TTGCCGGAAGGCTTATCACTTGCTGAGAACAACAGCTTGTGAATCAAGCTTTGTATGACTTTCAAGGCATCCAAAGTAGAAAGTAGAGTGATCTTCTCTGATTCTGGCTCATAGGGGGAATGATGCTGGCGTCTCCCAGTTGGTGAGTTCCTCTACCAGTCCCTTCCACTTCCGCTTCAGCATGATTAATCATTCCAATGATTTCTTTATCTGTCAGCTCTTCTGTAACATGCCCCTCTTGAGCAGGATTGAGAAAAGCCTCTATGGCCATTGGGTTCCTGATCCGAAGTCTCTGAAAATCCCGCTCGATCAAAGTGCAAGATCACCAACCTAAGTTGACTCAACTAATTAGTATATAGATTTCAAATATTATGTAAATAGAAAGAAAAAGAAAAGAAAGTACAAACTTCAGAGCAGGTAGTAGGTGAGATAAAAAAGAGGTCAGGATTTTGATGTCTTTGCTCTCTCTCATGACAATAGCATTCGGCACTAGGCTCAAATGTTGGAATTGGATCACTTGGATGCTCAACAGGTAATCTCGGCCCAAATTTGCCTGTAAGACCAACATGCTTCCAACAATTTGATATTGCTAACTCCAATACCTTAGACCATACTTCTTTTGCCAGCTCCATGGCTTCAAGTTGGGATATCTTGAATGGGTTTCGGGTGGTATCTTCCTCGTCTCATAGAATTGCTAGTCGAAGAAATCCTTGGCGATAGTAAGCTTTGAAAGTTCGAATTATTCCGGCATCGAGGGGTTGTAGCTGTGCGGTAGTATTCGGAGGGAGAAATTCGAGTTGAATAGCCTTGAGATCATAATCGATGGGCTCAATATGGGCAGAGCAATTGTCGACTAAGAGTATTATCTGACGGTTTTCTCTTTGGATATCCTCATCGAATCTCATAAGCCATTCCAACTAAATTACCCTTGTCATCCATGCTTTTGTATTAAAGTAGTAGTTATAGCCTAAGCTTCGTACACTTCGTTTACCAAAGCAGTGAGGCTGACATGCATGTCCAATAATCAGAGGCTCACGCTTATCAGTTCCAGTCCCATTAACACAAAAGCCATAGGTTAAGCATGTTTTTTCTCCTTTATGTCTATTTGTCTGTGTGGTAGCAAGGCCTACTGAGTGAGGCATCTGGTAAAAGAGGCCAGTTTCGTTGAAATTATATCTGTCTTCATCCACATAGTCGTCACAGGCAGTATTAATTTGATCAATGTGCTCAGCGTAATCCATTAGATTGACTGAATTGGCCTCTCCATAGAAGCGAAATCTATGAAGACCGGTTCGCAATTTGAACTTAGCCAACCACTCATAGCTCCACTTTGGCCGATTGGCCTCAGGAATATTTTCAAGCTCACAAAACACTATTGCTTTTGCCCGGATGGCTTCTTTGGTAAGAATAATTGCTAAACTATTCCTTAGTTCAAAAGCGTATTTCAAACATAAAAATAAGGGAAGATGGAGTATTATTTACATACCTCGTCCTTCATACTGTTGAACCCACAGTGCCAGCATTGACTCAATTCTAGGCAACTTGACACTGCGTACTCTCTGATATGCAAGCTCTGCACTGGTCATATTTGCCCAGTAATCGTATTCCTTTGCAAGAATATTGGTTACAGTCTTGCTATCGACACCATAGCTAGTTGTGAGAGATGCATTGGTAGGTGATCTTCCTCCATTCAGGGAAAACTTCTCCTTGTATAGCTTAAACTTTGCGAGATTGGTGAGGTTCGTATGCTTGGTTCAGGTTCACTTTTCGTACGAAGCAAGACGTTCGGTATGTTGTTTAGACATCATTGAAGTGTTTGGGGGCATTTTGTTCAAAGAAAGTCTTTTTTTTTTTCGCACTTTTCTCACCAAGATGGAAAGGTTAGGGAGTCCTTCGCATTCCTTCTCCCTTTTCTTCCACTATATATCTCCTACAAACTGGTGAGAATTTGTCTCCCATACACGGGATGAAGTGAAAAACTTTTCACTCAAAGAGCCCATTTGCAAAAATGGGACGCTTCCGTCCGGTGACGAAAAGGGTTATTTTTAAGGGGCGAACAGAACGGAACCATTGTCTCCAAACAAACTCTAACAAATCCTGGAATTTAGGTACATTTACTGTCTAGAAAGAGGAACTAATGGAATCCTAGAACTTAGAGGGAGAAACCTCATAGAACAAAACCTGTCTCCACCTTGGAGGTGGAAATATTGGAGTTCTGGAAACATGGGAGGGTGGAGTTAACGGAGGTTTCACTGTACTTGTAATATCATGCCTTAGTAAATATTATAGACTAATGTCCGCCGCCTTGGGCGTTGACAAAGGGTTGGCGCAAAGTTTCTCGCAATTTTACTGGTAGTGAGTCGAGTGCTGGAGATTGGTCGAGTATGATTACTACAAGTGCTACTCGAGTACGGTACTCGGGTAGAGAGACACTCGTTCAGCCCCCAGGGGTATGATAGAAGAAGGCGTTTCTTTTCGAGTGCAAAATTTCAAGCGGGTCTGCAAGGCTTACGTGCAAAAAAAAAAAAAAAAAAAAAAAAAAAAAGCCGTTTTGCACAATTCGAATAAGCGTTTTCTCAACTCTGAATAATGCCTCTACCGAGTGCGGTGTCATACAATAACTGCC